CCCTCCCACCCTCCCACCCCCGTGAAATGACCCTCTTCACTACCCTGTAGCGAGGATGACATCTGTGAACGGGCATTGCATGCACTCAAGTAGGCACTAGTTTCCTTTCCCAAAGACTTGCCTAAGGTCACACTGCTGGCCGGAGCTTGGCGATCTGGGCCCCGGGGGCCCTGCTTTCTGCCTCACCACAGCTGTCTCTGTGTCCTGGGCCAGAGCTTCATTGGCCTGAGGCAGTGGAGGAGCCCAGGAGCTGACTCGGCTATGATGTTCCACTCCAGACACAGCTGTCAGCACGGAGCTTTTCCTAAATTACTCCCAGACACTGACCCTTGGACTCAGCTGCTGCTATTGTCCAAATTTATTCATCCCTGCCTCACACAGATTATCTTTCATGATCTGTCTTCAAAAGCCTCATCTCAGGGTCATAGGCTCTGGGATCCTGGCCACTGATAACCTGTGCCTCTCCTCCAGGGCTGGGGTCAAGAGGTTGCTTTAGAAAGACATTCAGCGGGAGAGGGGAGGTGGCCTACTAGGCATAAACCCCGAAGCCCTCCTGTGGAGGGTCATCCTCTGCAAGGTGCAGACAAAAGCCAGGCACCTCAGAGCCACTTCAGGCCAGGGACAAAATCCACTCCTTCCCTCCCACCTGTGATTGCCCTTTATATATATATATATAGTCAAGAGGGAAATTCTGAGCGATACGGTGGAATTAGGGAGCAAGGAGGGGCGAAAGCAAAACCAGCCATTTCCACTGGGCTGGGGTCAGAAGCACCTGAGCCCACTGTGGTTAGAACCGGAGTTGGGGTCAAGATTAAACTTGTCAAAAGTAAATGTTGGGTTTTAAGTAGGGCAGCATGGTCTAATGGATAAAAACAAACTAACATGGGTTAGGATTCTGAAGGCCTCTGTCTGCTGTGTAACCTTGGGAAGGCCATGTCTTTGGAGCTCAACATTTTCAAATACAAAATGACCCTAGAATCAAAAGGGAATACACAGGTGACTTGGCAGAAAGTGTGGTTTTTCGCCTGGAGTTGGGGTTAAGCTTGCGTCAGGATTTCAGGATTGAAGACCCCCAAAGGAGAACTTGTAGCAGTTGTTCCCGAAGGTGGAAGTCCAAACCCTTCCGTTGCAGAGTCTGGGAATTTTTTTCTCCTCCTGATTTTCCTCTTCCCACTTTTTCTTACCAGTTAGATGTTTGGATGTTTTCATTGACCCCTGGGAGCATCCTGGTAACTTGGGGTCAGCTATGAGGGTCCTTTGGGGCTGAACAAAGACTGGAGACCTCGCCTTCATCTCCCAAGTTGCCGTAGGAGATAGTCCCATGTTCTGCGGCAAAGGGACAAGAGAAGAGCTTCATCAGGGACAGTTCTTTCATGGGAAGTCCCATTTTCCATCCCTAGAATCCCTTACCTTTCTTTTCTAAGCCCATTTCTGCTTTAAAATGTATCATTTTTGCTATAAAAATATACTTTTAATTGCAAGTAATACATGTGTATACTTGTTGCAAAATATATATATTTTCTTTCAAATCATTTAAATAACCTGGCAGTGAGTCAAAATATGAAAAGAAGATTCAAGCTTGCTCCCTTTAAGGGGGTTACTGCCATGATTGCCTCACACAAGCATTACCGAAGGCAATGATGACACCAGATTCCAAAGAGCATGGTGGTTAAGAAGGCTTCGAGGCTCACAGACTGAAGAGCTTGGTTTTGGGATGTTTCAGAGGGGTAGCAGGAGACAGGAGAGACATCAAATTCAAGGGACCCTGAAAGGATAGGACTGGGTTTCTGGGTCATCAGCACCTTGAAATGTTTCTTGACATGATTCAGTGTGGAGAGTATTTGTCGCCTGGGGAGAAGCGAGCAGGATGGGCTGAGCAGATAGTATGTTGTCCCATAAGGTCAAACTTCTTTAGGACATAGACCCAATCTCCCTGTTGTTCAGGTAATACTAGAAAAACAAGACCACAATGAAGCCAGAGTTTCCTATCTGTCTGCAGCTCAGTCTCTCTTACAAAATATTTAAATACAGAAAACTTTATAACCCCATTCCTTTCTCACTCACCTCCCCGTATATTTTGCACTTAAAAAAAAACACAGCCCTAGCCAGCTTGGCCCAGTGGATAGGGCGTCAGCCTGCGGACTGAAGGGTCCCAGGTTCGGTTCCAGCCAAGGGCACATGCCTGGGTTGCGGGCGCTTCCCCAGTGGGGGATGTGCAGGAGGCAGCTGATCGATGTTTCTCTCTCATCGATGTTTCTGGCTCTCTATCTCTCTCCCTTCCTCTCTGTAAAAAATCAATACAATATATTTTTTAAAAAAGCATAAATAGAATTTAATATCCATGTTGTTCAGTAATTTTTTTTCTTTTTCTGTTAATCCTCATCCAAGGATATTTTTTCCCATTGATTTTTAGAGAGAGTGGAAGGGTGGCGGTAAGACACACAGAGAGAAACCTCAATGTAAGAGAGACACAATGGTTGATTGCCTCCTACATGCACCCGACCAGGGATCGAGCCTGCAACCGAAGTAAATGCTCTTGACCAGGAATCAAACCCAAAACCCTTCGGTCTGAGGGCTGCTCTAACCACTAAAACTGGCCAGGGCTGCTGCTGCTTCTTCTTTTTTTTTCTTTTTTTACTTAATAACATGTCTTGGATATCTTTCCATGATGCCATATGTATATGTGCCACTTTTCTTTTAACTGTTACATAGTATTGTTTTTAGTCTTTTTTTTTTTCTTCTTATATCCAGTGGAGTCTGGTCTTTAAGTTCCCTATACACTCCCTTATTCCTCTGTCCTGACCCCACACACATCCCTAGTGGTTGGGAAGAGAGGAATGAGGTTCTCCTCCAAGTGAACTTTGACCTGCGATTTCTGACCTGGGAAAGTATCCTACTGTCATATGTATTTCCCTTCTTATTACAGGCAAAGGGCCATCCTGCCTGGAGCGGGGCAGAGATGACTCAGTCCTTAGAAGCAGTGCCATTTCTAATCCTCAGCCTTCCCCCTCACACACACACACTTACACACACACACACACACACACACACACACACATCCAGAACAACATAAGGGGAAGTAAAAAGCACCGGGGGCCTCCTGCACAATGAAATTATGCAGAGCATCTTGGAAGTAGTGTCTCTATGGCACAGACATTCACACACGCGGGCCTCTTCTCCAGCTGTCTGCAAAAGAGAAAGAAAAGAACAGAAAGTGTGGGGGAGAGTCAGGACCCAGGAAGCCAGAAGTCTTGGCTGGGTGGTGCTGATCTTTCCAAGCTGGAGAGCGGAGACAAACATCTCTGAGGGCAGGGAGGCAGCAAGAAGAACCAGGAGGGCTGCAGCCAGGGAGCCAGCTAGCTACGGAGGGGAAAACAAAGGAAAAGGGACGCAATTACTCCATCTCTCCCCCAGCCTCCTCATCTCCAGAATGATGGCACACTTGGTATGAGAAGCATAACCACCTCTCAGAGGGAAAAATGGTTATCAGAGAAAATTGTGGTTCTCAGGTTTGTAAAAAGCATAGAAGACAATGGTCAAGTTATATTCCATATCAACTGCCGAGGACTTAATAGTAGCTGCCATTTATCGAACCCAGAACCGCTTGATGCTAAGTTTCATGTCTTAACCAGGATTTTATTACTTCCCCTTCATTCAAAATCAGAGTATCGATTCCGGATTGGGTCTTGACAGGAAGGGAGGAGGATAGAGTTTCTTCTGAGATCAGATTGAGCCCTCCAGAAATAAGGTTCTGCACACAACATATTCCCCCTCCTTCCCTGACCCAGGCTGGACCATGACATCACAGTGTGGAGGCTGTTTTTCCGAAAAGAACCCAGGCCAGATTTACAAGAACAACATTCAGTGTGACTGAAGAGGACCGTGGCCAAGTGACCATAGCACACGCCCAGCAGTGCTGAGAACACTGCTAATCCCTCAGCACTGAGGCTGACGCATGGTTGCTGTCAGGACCAAATGTCAGATGCA